AATAAAAAAGGATAGAGTTAAAAACCAGATAAAAAAATTGGAGACAGATGTTAAAAGTCTCTCTCATTGACTTCCTTCATATCTTCCGAGTGGGTTTTCCTTTTCCTTCTTCCATCTTTAATTTCATTTCTGTTTTCTCTTCTACTTATTCTTCTGTGTTATTATTTATTTGGTCTATGTAATTTGTCACTTTTGTCCAGTCAGTTTCTTTGATTGGGTTTCCTTTGTTCTTGGACATCAGATATGACAATCTGTCCATGTTTCTGATGTCTAATACTTTTTCTAGCCATTCCTTTGTATCCGGAACTTCTTCTTTTTTCCAGAGTTTCGCATAGCACATTCTGGCTGCTGTATTCAATAAGAAGAGGAGTTTCTCTGCATTTTTCCCATTTTTCCTTCAATTATTCCTAGTAGAAATACTTCTGGTCTGAATGACAATTTCGTGTTTAAAATTTCCTGTGTAATTTTATAGATTTTTTTCCAATATACTTTTGCTTTTGGACAAGTCCATCACATGTGGAAATAGGAACCCTCCATCTTCCCACACTTCCAGCATTTGATACTTTTTGAACCATCAGAGACTACATACAGGAGAGAAATCATTCAAAGAGCTGGGACACAACCAATAAAATGTGTTGCAAAAGGGAAATAGTAGGATCTGAACATTCTGGTGCTGTCAGCGATACGTTCAACATTTCCCAATTAAGACGTGTGATTCTCTTGGCTTGAAGTAGGGTTTGGCTTGACTTGTTTGGCTTTGTTTGACTTGGGACTGTTTCAGAGAATGCTTTTGCATCTCTGGACACAGGTATCCCCGTGGGACTAGACTGTATTTCCCCTGGTCAGGCTTTGTGGGTAAACATCTGATTTCAAACACAACCCTTTGAGAAGTTCTGTCTAAGATTTGGTAGAGTCCCCTTTCTTGTCATTTAAATCCCTAAGGTGGGATCCTGTTCTTGGAGCAGCAGAAAGCAAGCTCTTTGTGACAATCCTTCAGAGGGTTAAATAAGATTGTCATGCCATCTTTAAAAAAATCATACTGTACATACTCGAGTATAAGCCATTTCAGCCCTTTTTTAGGGTGAAAATGTTTTCCTCAGCTTATACTCAGGTGAGGGTCCTGGTGGGAAGGCGTGGGGCTGAAAAAAGCCCTTCATTAATTTCCTGCCTTTCTGCCAGAACCCTCACCTCTTGCCGCACGCACGGTGTCTTTCCAGACAATTACTAACGCTGCTGCTCCTTTAATATGCATTTCTCATGCCACTCTCACATAGTATTAAAGCCGCCTTGGAAAAGTTACCGTGGGTGCGGCAAAAGAAGGAGAAATGGAGGTGTGCATGCACATGGCAATAACAGGGAGGGAGAAGCACACCTCTTTCCCCCTCCTATCACCGTGCATGCGCCCTTCAGCAGGGTTGCTGTGTGGCGAACAGGGGGTGCGTGCATAGTGCAAGGAAGTGAAAAGGAGACGCATGTGCCACCTCTGGCTGGCGCACGCCTCCCCCTTCTCTTGCCATGCACACACTCTCTCTGCTCTCCACACAGTAACTCAGCTGGGTTGCTGTGCTGAGAGCAAAGAGATTAGCTTTCATGGTGAGAGGAAGAGAAAGGGAGGCGCGTGCGCAGCCTCTTTGAACAGTACACACCTCCCCCCTTATCTTGCCATGCATGCACCCTCTCTGGTCTCCACACAGCAACTCAGCAAAGTTGCTGTGTGGAGAGCAGAGAACTTTGCGTGCATGGTGAGAGGTAGAGAAAGGGAGGCGCGAGTGCAGCCTCTTTGGACGGCACACACCTCCCCCTTTCTCTTGCCATGCTTGCACCCTCTCTGCTCTCCACACAGATACAGTTTTTTTTTTTTCAAAAAAAAAGCTGTATCTATTTTACCTCCTGTAAACCTGGTGTCCCTGACTGGGAGAAGATATGAACGGCTTCATGTAGTTGTTAAACAACATGGGAGACAGTAACTGGAAGATTTTTGTGGCCTCCACTGTCAAACAATACCTTAAATATGCAGATATCCATGTTTGGTCTGATTCGTTGTGAGATGTGCCCCACACGCCCTCTAGTCTCCTCTAGCCCCCTCTTCTCATGCCTCATCACTGTCAGCTCCTCAGGGAACCAAAGAGCTGGGCTAGCTCTGAGATGAGAGACGGGACGTCCCGGAGCGATGGTGTCCCTTGCCCTCTCCGTCTCACCATTCCAGCGATTGAGCGGAGCATTGACAGGAGCACCGACCAGGGTGGCGGGAAATTCCCCAAGAGCTGCCAGGAAGCCCTCTGTGTGAGGGTTGGTAAATGTATATAAGCAGAGGAAGTAGAAGGTTTACCTCAGTATTTAAACCAATATATATCCCGCTGAATAATAAAATGTCACTTGGGTTTGTGAAACAAATAACAGTAAAGAGACCGAAGTATACAGGGTAACAATGTACGCATCAGTCTCTTTGAATTCAGGCAGGGAACAGAAGAATGAAATAGCCCTTTGAAATCAGTCCTTAAATATGCCTCAAGCCTCAAAAGGATCAGGCTTCAAGAGAGTTGGCAGCCAGCCATTTTTCTTCCCTGTCCAAAGAGAGAACAAATGGCAGAATGGCAGTTAGAACTCTTGGCCTCAGCAGCCAATCAGAAGCCTGGCCCCTGGCACACTCAGCCAATCGGCTGCTGACACATCTCTCTCCAGCCAGCCCACCATTTCAAATCCTGACACTCTGAGCCCATAAGCCTCCTGGGGCGGAGCATTTCAATAGGTCCTCCAGCCCTGGGCAGGTGAGGGGCGCAGGAAGCCTAAGCCTGGCCAGAGGAGGGTCGGTCCACGGCAAGAGGAATAAAGGCGGTTCCTCCACACGGCCACCTTCCTTGACAGAAATCCCAGTCCAATGTCTGTCCTGCCCTGTGGGTTGGGCCAGAAACCACTTGGGACAGCCACACGGTTGCCATGGAGTCATGAATGACTTTTCAATCATTCTGAAGCATATGTCGTTTTTATTGTAGTTTCCAGTGCAAGAGGCTCTATCAAATTACAGAAAAACATTTAGACATACAGATTCTATGCAAATATATGTACAACAACTTACAGTTACATAGGACTGGCAACTAAACAAAGGGAAATTACATTTCACTCAACATTCACACACATGTACATCCATGCACCCAAACATTATTATATCCTTTTCTCCCTCCTTGGAGAAGCACCTGGTCAGATGTTGACTCTTCTTGATTGGTGTTGACGAACACAAGGCTTATGTTGACATCTATCTTAACATAAAGAATGTTGCAAACATTTCTGTTATCACTGTCCCAGTTCTTATCAGAGTTCAGTTTTCATTTCTCATTGGCAACTTTTAATTATAGTCCAGCATGCAGGTAGGTAGTCATTGCAGGCCTGGGTCTTTTACTGGTGTTTCCAAAATTATTAGTTCCATACATCCTTCTATTCATTCCCACATATCATATTAAATCCATACTTATAAAAATAGCACATTAAATTTTTGTGACAACGGCAACCATGAAGTCCTGAGCTGCTCCCGACAGGGTGGCCTCTGCATGGACGTTGAAGCACCCACTACTATAAGCCGCTGAGACGGAAATGTGGAACTCAGTGACACCCTTCTAACAGGACTGTGAATGGAGCTTCCCCGGCCTTGGCAGAGTGCGGCTTTGGAGAGCAGCCATTGCAGCGGGGGATGTCTCCAAGGCCACACGTGGGCAAGGAAGAGCCTGCTTGTGGTGGGCACTTTGGTTGTCTCTCCCACCAATCTGTCCTCCTCCTCCTTGGGAAAAAGGAGCCCTGGGACTAGAGCCCAAGCGGAGACCTTCTTCCTCTGTTGTAGGTGGAGGCTCTGCTCTGCTCTGCTCTGCTCCCAGGACTGATGGATTGCCTTGAATATTCAGTGGGGCTGGGGAGCAAGGGTTTGGCAGGAGGAGAATACATCTGACTATCCTTTGTTGTTCATTCGTTCAGTCGTCTCCAACTCTTCGTGACCTCATGGACCAGCCCACGCCAGAGCTCCCTGTCGGCCGTCACCACCCCCAGCTCCTTCAAGGTCAGTCCAGTCACTTCAAGGATGCCATCCATCCATCTTGCCCTTGGTCGGCCCCTCTGCCTTTTTCCTTCCACTTTCCCCAGCATAATTGTCTTCTCTAGGCTTTCCTGTCTCCTCATGATGTGGCCAAAGTACTTCAACTTTGTCTCTAGTATCCTTCCCTCCAATGAGCAGTCGGGCTTTATTTCCTAGAGGATGGACTGGTTGGATCTTCTCGCAGTCCAAGGCACTCTCAGCACTTTCCTCCAACACCACAGTTCAAAAGCATCGATCTTCCTTCGCTCAGCCTTCCCTAAGGTCCAGCTCTCACATCCGTAGGTTACTACAGGGAATACCATGGCTTTGACTAGGCAATGGATCTTGGTTGCCAGTCTGATGTCTCTACTCTTTACTATCCTAGGAATACAGAATTTTCCCTCCATGGTGATATCTCTGCCTTTATCTCCAGTCCTTTGGTTCCAGGGCTTTGGAGAGATGCTCTTTCCCCTCCTTCCAGTGTAACATTGGGCAAGGAAGGGTTAAGGGGAGGGAGTGAGATTCCCAGAGAGGCAGGAAGGAAGTGGGGCTCCTTAGACCTGCCTCTAGGAACCAAACTCCCTCCCCTTAACCTTTCTTTGCCCGGCTAGGAGAGAAGAGAAGAGTTTCCCTCTTTGGCCTCTCCTTCCTCCTCTTCCTAACTTTCTGGTGAGTCTTCTTCCCATTCCTTCTCCACCCTTTCTTCACCCTTTCCATCCTTTGCCCTTCCCAGATCTCTACAGGGAGAGTGGAATATTCAAAGGTCCAGGAAGTCATCTCACAGACATCAACCATGAAGAAAGTAAAACACGACAGCCACAGTCCCACCTGAGGCCCTGAGAAAGTTCCAAAAGGAGGTTTAGGTCAAGAGGAGAAGCTGTAATAGTTCCTAAAACATGCCACCTTGAAATAGCTAATCAGCGGAGAGAAAAAGAACACACCCTGGCCCAGAAGAAGAAGAAGGGAAACCACCCCTTCCTAATCTCTCCTCCTTGGAAGGAGATGCAGCCTGGCCTTGAGCCTTGGGCCCCATGGGGAGAAGGGGGCCTCATGCAGAGGGGATATTGGGGGTCAGCACAAGGGAGCAGCCGGGGGATCCTTTTGAGGAGGCAGAGAGGGGCCCAGGGCTTTCCCCACCCACCCACTCACCTGCCTGCCTGGCTCCTCTTTTCCCCCCTTGAGTTTTAAAAACAATTCAAAGTTCTGTTTGTCATCTGTATTTCCACATATTTTGCTTTCGTTTTTATATTGATTTTTGTCTCTTGTTTCAAAGTGTCTTGGTTCTTCTTCACAAGGAAGGCTGTGGATCACGAGGCATCAGCTGAAGGAATCACGGAGGGATCCAGTGTAGGTTGGGGCTGAATGGGAGCTCAATGGGAGGCCAGGTGGGCCTGGAGGCTGGAGAAGCAGAGGCCCAAGTGGAAGGAGGGCCCAGCATCACCTGGCTCTGTTTCTGTGTATTTCTTTGTTGTCCATTTTGGCCATTTCAAAAACGTTTGTAATCCAATTTTCTGGTGTTGGTTTCCATAGTTTTGCATATTCAATTCATGTGACTTCAAAATTGGTGTTGGGACTGAATGGGACCTCAATGGAAGGCTAAGTGAGGCCCAGCAGGAGGAGCAGAGGACCAAGTGGAAGGAGGGCCCGGCATTACCCGGCTCTGAAATAAATAAAGGGCTTGTTATTACTCCAGAAAAGAAGCCTCAGGAAACCCGTGGTCTAATTCTGCCTTTCTTTCACAGAAGAAATGTGATTGTTGGCTGAGAATTTTTCAGTAGAGCCTGTTGAAGGATTTCTTTCCCTTGACATAAAGAGCCAGGAAGAGCATCTTGGATCCACTTTGCTTCTTCAACAAACAGTGGTTCCAACATGGAGAGATCCAACTCACCTGGACCTGGGAGCAGTGGGGCATTCTGGGGGAAAAGTACACAGAAGTTCCTGAGTGTGGAACTATATAGTTCACACATACAGTGCCAGCGCTTCAGGCATTCCTCCTTTCGAGAGGGCGAGGGACCCAGAGAGGTTTGCAGCCGCCTCCACTCTCTCTGCCGCCAGTGGCTGAAGCCAGAGCAACACACCAAGGCGGAGATGCTGGACCTGGTGATCCTGGAGCAGTTCCTGAGCATCCTGCCCCCAGAGATGGGGAGCTGGGTCCGAGAGTGTGGGGCAGAGACCTCTTCCCAGGCGGTGGCCCTGGCGGAAGGCTTCCTCCTGAGTCGGGCAGAGGACGAGAAGCAGGAAGGACAGGTGAGAGCATTCCCTCTTGGCTTCACTCACCTTGGGACTAATATATAGATTAAATGTACATTCTGCCTTCTTTCAAGATGGGACCTGTGACAGAGATAAGTCAGAACCGGCTCCCTCGGGCTCTTTTCCCACCTGCTCTGCCCCTCCTGCTCTCACCTCCATATCCAGCATATGCTCAGTTGCTGCTCTACCCAAATTTCTTGACCCCAGATCATATTGAAAATGATGGAAGGGGGAGTGTGGCATGTGTTTCAAACTCAGTCTGTGATTTTTTTGAATTTTCTCCATATTAATTCTGGAATACTCTGTGCTCTTCCAGGCCCATAATAACTGCGTTGAAGTCCATCCTGATGTCTCTGAATCGGAGAAAACTCTGCCAGGCCCCACCCAGAGCCTCCAGCAGAAGGAGCTCAAGCAGGAAGGAGATGGGACTGCGGCCTTGGAGGGTAAGAAGGAACCCTTTGGGGTGTTTTGCTTTTTTATGCCAGTGTAACTTTCCCCTGCAGGGGATTGTAACAAATGCACAATCTGTTTGAGCTAGAGAAGGCATACATGTAGGATATGTATATAGGTAAGCATTTGGTTGCAAAAGGTGTAATTTGGAGTTTCCTTTATTGTTCTACTTCTACATTTGCATACTGTTGGGTGGGACTGAAATATCAGTCGTACGGTATGTTCCCAGGTGAAACCTGAAGCTAAGATGAGCCCTGAAACAGATCTGGAAGGCAAACACAACAAAGAATAACTTTAGTCCATTGACATATCAAGCCCAGTACTTGTTTCAATCCAACCTATTCACAGCACCGCATGACATGAAAAAGTCCTAAACTCCAAAACTTTACATATTCCTGGGCTGGCGAATGCCCCTGTCTTCATAGGGTCATTTTCTCAGGTTTCTTTTTAGGACTGTAATTGTCACCTCTGAGACATGTTTATGTGATCAGCTTCCACCCCTTGCTCTGTCTCTCTCTCTCTCTCTCTCCCAGGGGCTGGAATGATGTTGTTGCCGAATCCTCAGTCATTTCTTCCCCTTTGTGACGGAGTGGAAGTGAATCAGGTAAGCAGAGGGATTCCTGGGAGAGGAGGAAGGGAGCTGCCTGGGCGTCATTGGTTCCAGGCTCAATCACTAAACATCTTTTGAAACAGAAAAAATTGAACCAACATAAATGTAAATCATTTCAAAAGATTCTTGTAACTGTTTTTCTTGATTTCCCTTATTTTCCTTTTCCCACCAGGGCCCAATCGCCTTTGAGGAGGTGGCTGTCCATTTCTTCCCAGAGGAGTGGGCTCTCCTGAATCCTGGTCAGAAAGCCTTGCATGGGCAGATCATGGAGGAGATCCGTGGGATGGTAGACTCTCTTGGTAAGGTTCCCTCACGGATGGGGATTTCTGTTTCAAAATGCAGGATCCCAATCAGCACCTCTCGGGTGGAAGTAATTTCCAAAATCATCCGAATCACTGAGGTTCCTCAAGGCAGGGCTTATGGTTGAAAAAGATGATGTATTAGTAATATATGGGTCCCTTAGTCTTTCTGAGACAGAGAACAATCTCCCTTCCTTTTCTCTCAGCTGATTTGCTATTTCAAGGTGGCATGTTTTAGGAACTATTACAGCTTCTCCTCTTGATCTAAACCTACCTTTTGACCTTTCTTAGGGCCTCAGGTGGGACTGTGGCTTTTGTGTTTTACTTTCTTCATGTTTGAGGTCTGTGTGATGACTTCCTGGACCTTTCAATATTCCACTCTCCCTATAGAGATCTGGGAAGGACATCCAGGACAACTGAGAAAACAAAGGGAAACGATGCAAAGGATGAAAATGGTTTTAAAACTTAGAACATATTTAGACATTTTAATAAAATTACAATATTTTTAAAAGCACTAAAACCAGGTACATAGAAGGGTTTTGGTAAAATCAATTAGACGCCCAAACCCTCATGAAAAATAATGTATTTAATTGGTGCCTGAGCCACTGCAACGTTAGCACCAATTTGGACTCCAGTGGGAAGATTTCCATAAATGGAGTCAAGTCCAAGCATACCTCACACCCTTGCCGCAACTGGTCTTTTTACAAAGGCGAGATTCAACGTATTTCCCTCAGAGCTGCTAAGAGGCAGACTGCCTGGAATCCCTTTCTCCCAAAGACTATGTTCCTGTGGAGGAAATGAAATAGAAACAACAGAATACATTTTATTGCAGTGCCGCTATTACACAGTGTAACGTAGGCAACTTTTATATCCAATCCTGTCCTGCATGACCAGCAGAGGATTGTTAGATGTCTTTCAAAGGACAAGTGCCACAATGTGACTCTCATCGTGGCAAAATTCCTCATGGCCACTTGCTGGGCCAATCCTCGACCGGTTCATCCCGCTGGACGCAGGGGCTGTCGATAGGCTCATAGCTGCAGCTAGACCGACCACTTGCTCCCTCGATCCGTGTCCCTCTTGGTTGGTGAAATCCTGTTTGGAGGGATTACGCGACCCTCTGTTGAAGATTATAAACAGCTCCCTTGAGCAAGGAGTTTTTCCAAAGGGTTTAAAAGAGGCGGTGGTCTCTCCCCTGCTGAAGAAACCAGACTTAGATCCCTCGGTTCCCTCCAGTTACCGCCCAGTTTCGAATCTCTCGTTCCTGGGCAAGGTGATTGAGAGGGCAGCAGCGGAGCAGTTGCAGCAATTCCTAGACGACACAGCTGGACTAGATCCCTTCCAGTCCGGCTTCCGTGCGGGGCACGGGACAGAGACTGTGCTGGTCTCCATCACGGATCACCTTCGATGCCAGCTTGACCAGGGCGGGTCAGCGCTGCTTGTGTTATTGGATCTCACAGCAGCATTTGACACAGTCGACCACAATCTTTTGACCCACCGCCTTGCTGTTGCTGGAGTCAGGGGGACAGCTTTAAACTGGCTGTCCTCCTTTCTTCACAACCGTGGACAGTGAGTGGAGAGGGGAGGCCTGGTCTCTCAGAGGTCCCCTCTATCTTGTGGGGTTCCTCAGGGGGCCATTCTCTCCCCTCTGTTATTTAACATCTATATGCGACCACTTGCTCAGCTGGTTTGGGCTTCAGTGTTATCAGTACGCCGATGACACTCAGCTGGTGCTGAAGATGGAAGGCCAACCGGACTCTGTACCCGATTATTTCCATCAGTGCCTCAAGGCCGTTACTGGATGGTTGCGTGCCAGCAGGTTGAGGGTGAATCCAGCAAAGACGGAGATCCTATGGCTGGGTCGACCGGGCAGTGGGGACATCCAGCTGCCTACCCTGGATGGCGAGGCACTACGCCCGTCATCATTGGTAAAGAGTCTGGGAGTCCTTTTGGACCCTCTGCTGACGATGGAGGCCCAGGTCTCCGCCGTTAGCAGAACCGCCTTCTTTCATCTGCGGCAGGCTAGACGGCTGGCCCCCTACCTGTCCAGGGACGACCTAGCTACGATGATCCAGGCCACGGTCATCTCAAGACTGGACTACTGTAACGCCCTCTACATTGGCCTTCCTCTGTCGGTGATCCGGAAGCTCAAGTTGGTACAAAATGCAGCTGCTCGGCTTCTTGCGGGAATTCCGATGAGATGCCACATAACACCAATCTTACTACAGCTGCATTGGTTACCAATTGAGCACCGGATCACTTTCAAAGTGATGGTACTCACCTTTAAGGCCTTGCATGGTCTGGGGCCGATGTATCTGAGGGACCGCCTCACCCCCTACCAACCCCAGAGATCCCTCCGTTCTGAGGACCAAGATCTATTGGAAGTCCCCAGTGTCAAGACCTTGCGTCTAACAGCAACCAGACGCAGAGCCTTCACAGCAGTGGCACCATCACTCTGGAATACTCTGCCACCTGAAGTCCGTGCCTTGCGGGACTTACCAGCTTTCCGCAGGGCATGTAAGACATACCTGTTTCGACAGGCTTTTAATGTTTGATATGGCTGTTTTTAAATTGTTTTAAATTGCTTTTAAATTTTGTTAGATTTTAGCTATTCTTGTAAGCCGCTCCGAGCCCCAGGGGAGTGGCGGCATATAAGTTCAAATAATAAATAAATAAATAGTAAATAAATAAATAGTAGCAACAAGGCGGAGGAAGCAACTAACCTTTGATAGGAGTATTACTTGAAACCATGTAGATGTGTCTTGTATAATGATTTTCTCCTGAGATGGGATGACTGTTTGTTTACTGATGGGTCTATGGACCATAATAAATATTATTGTTGTGATCATGAAACAGAACAAACTTCCCCTGGCTTCAGATACACCGATGCGGTTATACATCTTATTACTGGTGTGGTATTCAACCTTGTTTGTCCTCCCAGCCAGGCAGGCTAGCGTTTGCATGTCTGAAGCTAAGCTCCCTTAATACGCTGCTGCTCCCAGCACACAAACAGCCCCTGCCTCAGTCCTTCGCAAGATGGTGACCTGCAACTTTATGCATTCTATGTTCTGTGCTTGTGAATGATTGGGGCTCGGGATTTTTTGTGCTTTTGGGGGAGACACATAGCAGTAAAGAAACTCTATATGCCTCTCATTCAAGTGGTAAGAGTGTCATTTATGGTAGGTTCACAATTGCAGAAATGTAGCTGTTTTGAATAGAGTGCATGTTTTGAAACATTATGTATATTTATACCACCCAAAATGTTTGGAAATAGCTAATATATCCTCTGCCACTTCCGTAAATTCTCATATGTGAAGAAGTTGCAGCTTCCATGTAGAAACTGGGCAGAATTATACAGGTATTGAAACCAGAGCAATTGACTGAACAAAGGGACAGTCCATAGAATGGTATTTCCAAGAAGTCTCTGTTATTGCGGCATCTGGATTTATCAGCAGCTCTTAACTCTGGTGCAAAGTCTCAGAAACTGGGATGGTTTGGAGGCAATATCCACTCTCTCAAAACAGATGTCAAATGTGGTGGTGCTCCCCCCTTTTTTATAGTCAATATCTTGTATTTTTCCAGTTTTGTCAGGCAAAACCATAACAATCTCTCTAGCGCTCTGAAATTAGTTATAGGACCTTATACAGAGTGGAAAAATCCAACCTTAAGTGAAAATGGGGAGAGAGAACTGGTGGTTGGGGGAGAGAATTAAAAAGGAGGGAACAATTAGCTAGAGAAAAAAGCGCAAGCATTTGAATGTGGAGGGAAAAATCATCCATTCTCCATAAGAAGGAGATAGAATGCAAAGCCAGGCTCGGCTGAGGAAAAACGGCTCCGGAGCATATGTTCTTCATCTCTCCCTTAGAAGCTCCAGCCTGTCAAACAGTGTCCATATTTACTGAACAAGAAGTGGGGAAATTACAGCATTTATATCTTATTTCCCCCCATATCTATGTTAAGGATTATTTCAATCTCTTTCTTATACCATTTCCCTAGAGTCCTTATCACTCACACTAAATAATGGTTGTTTCTGTCCTTCTTCACAGCAGATAACTGGGAAAAGAGCAATGTATGCACCAAACACTGGAAGCATTTGGGACACACCAGGGGCCATATAAAAAAGAAAACATACCAATGCCAGGAGTGTGGGAAATGTTTTTCTTTCAGTTCAGCCTTGGTGAGGCACAAAAGACTCCACACAGGAGAGAAGCCATACCAATGCCAGGAGTGTGGGAAATGTTTTCCTTATTCATCCTTGGTGAGCCACAATAGACTCCACACAGGAGAGAAGCCATACCAATGCCAAGAGTGTGGGAAATGTTTTGCTGATAGTTCAACCTTAGTGAGCCACAAAAGACTCCACACAGGAGAGAAGCCTTACCAATGCCAGGAGTGTGGGAAATGTTTTGCTTACAGTTCACACTTGGTGAGCCACAAAAGACTCCACACAGGAGAGAAGCCATACCAATGCCAGGAGTGTGGGAAATGTTTTACTAACCGTTCACAATTGGTGAGCCACGAGAGACTTCACACAGGAGAGAAGCTATACCAATGCCAGGAGTGTGGGAAATGTTTTGCTGACCGTTCACAATTGGTGAGGCACAAGAGAGTCCACACAGGAGAGAAGCCATACCAATGCCAGGAGTGTGGGAAATGTTTTGCATACAGTTCAGCCTTGGTAAGTCACAAAAGAATCCATACAGGAGAGAAGCCATACCAATGCCAGGAGTGTGGGAAACGTTTTGCTACCAATTCACACTTGGTGAGCCACAAAAGAGTCCACACAGGAGAGAAGCCATACCAATGCCAGGAGTGTGGGAAATGTTTTGCTGACCATTCACAATTGGTGATCCACAAGGGGCTCCACACAGGGGAGAAGCCATACCAATGCCAGGAGTGTGGGAAATGTTTTGCTCGCAGTTCAGTCTTAGTGAGCCACAAAAGACTCCATACAGGAGAGAAGCCATACCAATGCCAGGAGTGTGGGAAATGTTTTGCTCGCAGTTCAGTCTTAGTGAGCCACAAAAGACTCCACACAGGAGAGAAGCCATACCAATGCCAGGAGTGTGGGAAATGTTTTGCTCAGAGTTCAAACTTGGTGAGCCACAAAAGAGTCCACACAGGAGAGAAGCCATACCAATGCCAGGAGTGTGGGAAATGTTTTGCTAACCATTCACAATTGGTGAGCCATGGGAAACTTCACACAGGAGAGAAGCCATACCAATGCCAGGAGTGTGAGAAATGTTTTGTTGACCGTTCACAATTGTTGAACCACAAGAGAGTCCACACAGGAGAGAAGCCATACCAATGCCAGGAGTGTGGGAAATGTTTTGTTGACCGTTCACAATTGGTGAGGCACAAGAGAGTCCACACAGGAGAGAAGCCATACCAATGCCAGGAGTGTGGGAAATGTTTTGCATACAGTTCAGCCTTGGTAAGTCACAAAAGAATCCATACAGGAGAGAAGCCATACCAATGCCAGGAGTGTGGGAAACGTTTTGCTACCAATTCACACTTGGTGAGCCACAAAAGACTCCACACAGGAGAGAGGCCATACCAATGCCAGGAGTGTGGAAAATGTTTTGCTCAGAGTTCAAACTTGGTGAGACACAAAATACTCCATACAGGAAAGAAGCCATACTAATGCCAGGAGTGTGGGAAATGTTTTGCTGATCATTCACAATTGGTGATCCACAAAGGACTCCACACAGGAGAGAAGCCATACCAATGCCAGGAGTGTGGGAAATGTTTTTCTTACAGTTCAAACTTGGTGAGGCACAAAAGACTCCACAAATGAGAAAAGCCAGACAGATGCACAGATGCATGGATTGTGGGAAATGTTTTATTCAGACTTCATCCCTTAGGATACACCACACAACTCACACAGGTTAAAAAAGAAACAAATGCCAGGCATGTGGGAAATGTTTTTATCGGGGTTAATACTTTTTGAACCATCAGAGACTACATACAGGTGAGAAATCATCCAAAGTGCTGGGACAAAACTAATAAAATGTGTTGCAACAGGGAAATGGTGGGTTCTGGACATTCTAGTGCTGTAAGCTACATTTTCAACTTTTCCTGATGAAAACTTGTGATTCCCTTGGCTTTAAGTAGGGTTTGGCTTGACTTTGGACCGATCTCTTAGACAACTTTCTTCGTGGTTTTGTACTCAGTTATGCAATACAACTCTCTTCTTGGGTTTGAAGTCTTGTTCAGTTTTTTTGTTTCTTTTCATTTGGCTTTGTTTGACTTGGGACTGTTTTGGAGAATTATTTTGCTTCTCTACACACCAGCATCACCATGGATCTTATAAATTAAGGAAATAAGTTTCTTTGTGTAGAGCAGGCCGGGCAAACTTTGGCCCTCCAGGTGTTTTTGAACTTCAACACACAGAATAGTAATAATAATAATAACAATAAGTATTATTATTATCTTCTGCATCTGCTTCTTCTTATTAATTGTATTACACTTCTATTCTATTTCATTACAAAACACAATCTCCATAATTCATGTATTTATTTATTCTCACTTTCCCCATTATCCTCCCCGTATCCGGAGTCATTCTTTTCTTTGCGGTCCCATCAGAACTTCACGTCTACTGCTGAGGGTTGCTTAGAATCATACAATCATAGAGTTGGAAAAGATCTTGTGGGCCATCCAGTCCAACCCCCTGCCAAGGAGCAGGACAATCTGTTCAAATCACCCCAACAGATGGCCATCCAGCCTCTGCTTGCCATCTTCTTTTCTCAATGGTCTGTTCTCAATGTTCCATCTTTTTTTTTTTTTGCCTTTAAATTACATGTTAATTTGTTCTTAACAAATGGTAAGCCGACTGAGAGTCCTGGGATTTGAAGTCCAAGCATCTGGAAGGCTGTCCTTTACTGATGTATAGTGAAAACAACAGTTTGTATCATTAATATAAACTTCCCAACTAGTCCCTTCTAATTGCTTGAGGAAACCTGATTACCAATAAAGAGATTACCATATTTACGCAAATCTAAGAAGTACCTCTTTTGGCTAAATGACCAAATGGGGTGCGCATTACATTTGTGTAACATGGCAAAGTGTGGGTGGGTGGACAGACAAGCGTGTACTCGCAGGAGAGGGAGTGGGAGCACATGCCAGCCTCCCTGCATGTCCCAAGACACCTTTGCCTTTACCTTTGCTTCCTCCACACCTGAGGCTCGTCCCCTTCAACTTTGCTCACCAGGACCTGCCTTCTACTGCTGGCGAGGCCTTTGTCCACCGCTTGGCCAGAGATAGGGCACCCCATTGGCTACACTCCACCGGGTATCGGTCAGTTGTATTGGGAACGGGTCAGCTGTGACCAGCAGTGCTGCAGAATTCGAAGAGGCACAAGTGGAGAGCGAAAGGGAGACACGTGCCAAGAGGAAGGCGCCTCAAGCCAATCCTGACCGGGCAGACCTACTTATGACTTCACTATATTGGTCTCTCCTTTGTAGTAGTCATGCGTAAGACTGAAATGTGGAAATGTGTGATGCCCTTCTGACACATCTCTGATTTCTCAAAGGTGGTTTCTCATAGGCCGTGGGCATGAAGAGTCCGTGTGTGGTGGGTGCCTTGGTTGTATCTCCCTCCCAGGTCTGTGTTCCTCCTCTTTGGGGAAAGGGAGACGTGAGCCTTGACCCCAGGCTGAGACCTTCTTTCTCTCTTGTGGGTGGAGGCTTTGCTCTTCTCTCTGGACTGACTGATTCCCCTTAATGTTCAGTGGGGTTGGGCAGCAAGGGTTTGGCAGGGAGAGAATACATCTCTCTAACTATCCTATGAATACAGAATTTTCCCTCCATGAGGATAGCTCTGCCATCTTTCGTCCTTTGGTTCCAGGGCTTTGGAGAGAGGCTCTTTCCCCCTCCTTCCAGTGTAACATTGGGCAAGGAAGGGTTAAGGGGAGGGAGTGTGGTGCCCAGAGAGGCAGGAAGGAAGTGGGCTCCTTAGACCTGCCTTTCCTGTCCCTCTAGGAACCAAACTCCCTCCACTTCACTCTTCCTAGCCTGGCTGGGAGAGAAGAGAAGAGTTTCCCCCCTTGGCCTCTCCTCCTCCTCCTTCCCCTCCTTCCGGTGACCCTTCTTCCCATTCCTTCTACAAAGGGCCGAAGAGGGGCTGAAGGCCAACACACCTGGAGGGAGGGCCGGAGTGGGCCCAGGCAGAGGTAATTTTCAATGGTAAGCAAACAGTATTTTGGCCCCCCCCCCCCCCAAACCAATCACTGATATATATTTTCTGTTCGTTGTGGGAGTTCTGTGTGCCATATTTGGTTCGGCTCCATCATTGGTGGAGTACAGAATGCTCTTCAATTGTAGGTGAACTATACATCCCAGTAACTACAATTTGCATATGTCAAGGTCTATTTTCCCCCAAGAGCGCCTCAAGAGCGCCCCTGGGCAAGATCAACTATACTGCAAATGCTTACTTTGCGTAATGGGTTGAGCCGCCCATGGGCCCAGGCCTCATTCCCTCCCAGGTTGGCCTCCTGACCCAGGCGGAGACACACACACTGGCCGAGAAGAAGAAGGGGAACCACCCCTTCCTAAGCTCTCCTCCTTGGAAGGAGATGGAGCCTGGCCTTGAGCCTTGGGTGCCATGGAGAGAAGGGGGCCTGATGCAAAGGGATTGGGGGTCAGCCTTGGGAGGAGGGAGAGACAGGCAGAGAGAGGCCCAGGGCTTTCCCCTCCCCACCCACTCACCTGCCTCTCTGGGTCCTCTTTTCCCCCATTGAGTGCTTAAGTAATTCAGCATTTCTCTTTGTCATCTTATCATAAGTACTTTTAAAAACATTAAATAGGTTCTTTTATTCCGCTTTCAGTCAGACAGGTTGCATTAGGTACTTTCAGAGAAAGAAGCAGACACAGACTCCAGTCCTGGGTTTTAGAATAATTAATTTGGTTACATTGACAAAGGGGGATGTGGCATCGACATTTACACATCTTCTCTAACATTCAATCTTTCATTCATCAAGCGTTCTTACCATTCTTCTTGTTGAAGATGATCCGCTTCTTAGGAGGAGGAGGAGGCTGTTCACGATGGTGTTCAGAAATGGTGTTCAGTCGGTCTGACACATGCTTTCAGAGAGAGAGGGGGGGGGGGTCCTTTTACGTCGTGTTTTCTGTTGATGTGATTCTGAAGGTGTAAATTACTGACAGACAGATCCCATCAGTTCCTGGACAGATGTTGATTTTGTTTAATTGGCTTTCCTTATCAAGGAGCCTTGTAAACATTTCTGTAAGGAGCCACAGTGTTGACTTCCTTACTTAATAGAACCTGCCTGCCTGGGTCCTCTTTTCCTCCCCTTAAGTTTTTTAAAAATAATTCATAGTTGTTTGTCATCTGGATTTCCACATATTTTACTTTAGTTGTTATATTGATTTTTGTCTCAAAGTCTCTGGGTTCTTTATAAGGAAGGCTATGAATCACAAGGCATCAGTTCAGGGAATCACAGGGGGATTCAGTGTGGCTTCGGACTGAATGGGAGCTCCATGGCAGTCCCCTCGGTCTTAAGGTCCTGCTGATTAATGCCAGATCCGTTAATGGTAAGACCGCGGCCATCCAGGACTTGATCCTGGATGAGAGGGCGGATCTGGCATGCATCACCGAGACCTGGCTGGACGAGCTGGGGGGAGTAAATCTCACTCAGTTGTGTCCACCAGGTTTCGGAGTGCATCAGCAGGCCAGACAAGGGGGGCGGGGAGGAGGGGTCGCAGTAGTCTTTCGGCAATCCATCGCCGTGATCAGATGCGCTGTTCCGCAGGCTTCTGGGTTCGAGTGTGTCCACTTGAAAGTGGGGAGCCGTGACAGTGTGGGGTTCCTGCTGGTGTACCGCCCACCCCGCGACCCAGCAGCTTCCCTGTCTGAGCTAGCGGAGGTGGTCTCCAATTTGGCCTTGGTTTCCCAGCGCCTGGTGGTGCTGGGAGATTTTAACATCCACGCTGAGACCACCCTATCTGGCGCAGCTCAGGACTTTATGGCCACCATGACGACCATAGGACTGTCACAAATAATATCTGGTCCCACCCATCAAGCTGGACATACTCTTGACCTTGTTTTCGTGGCGGACAACGAAATGATTAGAGTGGAAGATCAAAACATCCTTCCGGTGTCATGGTCTGATCATTATCTGATCAGTTTTAGACTTGCTGCGACTCTTAACCTCCGCAGGGGTGGAGGACAGATTAAAATGGTCCGCCCTAGGAGACTGATGGATCCAGATGGATTCCTGAGGAATCTTGGGGTTCTTCCTGCCTTGGAGCCTGGCGATTCTATTGACGCCTTGGTGACTCTCTATAATAGGGAGATGACCAGGGCGATAGATACGATCGCACCCGAACGCCCCATCTCGTTGCGTCGTGACAGGCCATCTCCCTGGTTCACCGGGGAGCTGGCTGTGATGAAGCATACGAGAAGGGGGCTAGAGCGCAAATGGAGGAAATCTCGGGACGTGTCTGATCGAGCACGGGCTAAAGCCTCTCTTAAGGCATACTCCGTGGCTATAAGGGTGGCCAGGAAATCATTCACGACCACCCGTATAGTGTCTGCAGCAAATAGATCATCGGAGCTGTTTCGGGTCGTGGGAGAACTCCTCCACCCACCTGTGGTGGAGGAGGTCACTGATGACCCAGCAGCTCGGTGTCGCGATTTCGCACACCATTTTGCAGGTAAAGTCGCCCAGATACTCCTTGAGCTTGACTCCAATTTCATCGCAGTACCAGAAGAGGTGACGGAGGCATCTGCTTGTCCAACCTTGTGGGATTCTTTTAGGCTTGTTCTTCCTGAAACCGTGGAGGAGATTCTTGGGGCTGTGAGGGCGACCACCTCATCTCTAGACCCGTGCCCATCTTGGCTCATTAAATCAGCCAGGGAGGGGTTGGTTGACTGGTTTGTATTGATTATCAATGCATCGTTGGAGCAAGGGATTTTTCCATCTGGTTTGAAACAGGCTGTGGTTCGTCCACTCCTCAAAAAGGCTTCCCTTGACTCCACGGTGCTGAGCAATTACAGGCCAATCTCTAACCTCCCTTTTTTGGGTAAGGTGCTGGAGCGGGTGGTCGCCTCCCAGCTCCAGAGCTTCTTAGATAATACCAACTACCTAGATCAGTCACAGTCTGGTTTCAGGCCTGGTCATGGCACCGAGACAGCCTTGGTCGCCTTGGTGGATGACCTCCGCAGAGAGCTGGACAGGGGGAGTGTGACTCTGTTGGTTCTCTTGGACATCTCAGCGGCTTTCGATACCATCGATCATGGTATCCTTCTGGGTCGTCTCTCTGGGATGGGCCTCAGGGGCGCGGTTCTGTCGTGGCTCCGGTCCTTCCTGGAGGGACGAACCCAGATGGTGAAGCTGGGAGACGCCTGCTCTGACCCCTGGCCTTTGACCTGTGGGGTCCCGCAAGGCTCTATTTTGTCTCCCATGCTTTTCAACATCTACATGAAACCGCTGGGAGAGGTCATCCGGAGTTTTGGAGTTGGGTGCCATCTCTATGCAGATGAGCACAACTCTACTACTCTTTTCCACCTAATTCCAAGGAGGCCTCTCGGGTGCTGGACGAGTGCCTGGCCGCTGTGTCGATCTGGATGAGGAGGAACAAGCTGAAGATCCATCCCGACAAGACAGAGGTCCTCCTGGTCGATCGTAAACCGGATCGGGGTATAGGGTGGCTACCTGTGTTGGACGGGGTTACACTCCCCCTGAAGCCACAGGTCCGCAGTTTGGGTGTCCTCTTGGATTCGTCGCTCACACTTGAGGCTCAGGTGTCGGCGGTATCCGGGAGGGCCTTTGCACAATTGAGACTTGTGCGCCAGCTGCGACCGTACCTCGCGAAGGCTGATCTGACCGGGGTGGTCCATGCCTTGGTCACCTCTAGAATGGATTACTGCAATGCGCTCTGTGGGGCTGCCCTTGAAGACGGCTCGGAAACTTCAATTGGTCCAGCGGGCAGCAGCCAGGATGTTAACCGGGGCTCATTATCAAGAGAGGTCTACCCCTCTGTTTAAGGAGCTCCACTGGCTGCCATTTATTTTCCGAGCCCAATTCAAGGTGCAGGTGCTCACCTACAAAGCCCTGAATGGTTTGGGACCACCCTACCTGCGTGACTGCATCTCCATCTACGAACCCACACGCTCGCTCCGGTCATCTGGGGAGGCCCTGCTCGTGATCCCAACCAAGTCGCAAGCGTGCTTGGTGGGGACTCGGGACAGGGCCTTTTCTGTGGCGGCCCCCCGACTTTGGAATGCCCTTCCAAAAGATCTTCGACAGGCCCCTACTTTAGCAGCTTTCAGAAAGAACTTTAAAACTTGGCTGTTCCGATGTGCCTTCTCAGAATAGGAATCCCCATCCCAAGTCCTAGAAGCACTTTAGTACAATTAATAGCACTGCACACCGCACTTATAATCCTACGTTCCTCCTGCCATTCCAGCACTTTTAACCCTGTACCCCATTGCTCTGGCCAGCCCAGTTTTAAAGTGTCTTGATGTATTGTTACTGTTGTTGTTATTTTGCTTAACTATTTGATTTGCTTTGTTTATTGTTGTGTTATGTTTTATTGTATTGTGTTCTGAGGCTTCGGCCTGTGTAAGCCGCATCGAGTCCCTCGGGAGATGCTAGCGGGGTACAAATAAAGTTAATAATAAAATAAAATAAAAAATAGAGGCTGGAGAAGCAGAGGCCCAAGTGGAAAGAGGGCCCAGCATTACCGGGTTCTGAAATAAGTAAATAAATGGCTAGGGGTTCTTTTCTCTCAAAGAAAAATCCTCCCAAAGCCTGTTGTCTAATTCTGCTTTTCTTTCACAGAGAAAATGTGATTTCTGGCTGAGAATTTGGGAGTTGAGCCTGCTCTGGGATTTCTTTCCCTTGAGAGAAGACGGAGGAAGAGCATCTTAGATACGGTAGGGTTCTTCATCAGAGTGACTCCAACATGAAGAGAACCAACTCACCTGGACCTGAAGCAGGAAGGGCTCCCGGGAAGATTGGAGAATCCTGGGAAATAACTACACAGCTGATCCTAGATAAACACATACAGTTCCAGCGCTTCAGGCATTCCTCCTTTCGAGAGGCCGAGGGACCCAGAGAGGTTTGCAGCCGCCTCCACTCTCTGTGCCGCCAGTGGCTGAAGCCAGAGCAACACACCAAGGCGGAGATGCTGGACCTGGTGATCCTGGAGCAGTTCCTGAGCATCCTGCCCCCAGAGATGGGGAGCTGGGTCCGAGAGTGTGGGGCAGAGACCTCTTCCCAGGCGGTGGCCCTGGCGGAAGGCTTCCTCCTGAGTCGGGCAGAGGACGAGAAGCAGGAAGGACAGGTGAGAGCATTGCCTCTTGGCGTCACTCACCTTGGGACTAATATATACATTAAATGTACATTCTGCCTTCCTTCAAGATGGGACCTGTCACAGAGATAAGTCAGACCCTGCTCCCTCGGTCTCTTTTCCCACCTGCTCTGCCCCTCCTGCTCTCACCTCCATATCCAACATATGCTTCGTTGCTACTCTACCCAAATTTCTTGACCCCAGATCACATTGAAAATGATGGAAGGGGGAGTGTGGGATGTGTTTCAAACTCATCTGTGATTTTTTTTTAATTTCCTCCATACTACTTCTGGAATACTGTGTGCTCTTCCAGGCCCATAATAACTGCGTTGACGTCCATCCTGATGTCTCTGAATCTGAGAAAACTCTGCCAGGCCCCATCCAGAGCCTCCAGCAGAAGGAGTTCCAGCAGGAAGGAGATGGGGTTGCGGCGCTGGAGGGTAAGAAGGAACCCTTTGGGGTATTTTGCTGTTTTATGCCGGTGTAACTTCTCCTTCAGGGGATTGTAACAAATGCACAATCCGTTTGAGCTAGAGAAGGCATACATGTAGGATCATTTGGCCTTGAAATGAGTACATAAGTAAGCATTTGGTTGCAAAAAGTGTAATTTCAGTGTGATTTGGAGTTTTCTTTATTGTTATACTTCTACATTTGCATACTGTTGGGTGGGACTGAAATATCAGCCGTACGGTATGTTCCCAGGTGAAACCCGAAGCTAAGACGAGCCCTGAAACTGAGCTGGAAGACAAACAACAAAAATAATGTTAGTCAATTGAAATACCAAGCCCAGTACTAGTTTCAATCCAAGCTACTTAAAGCACTGCTTGAGATAAAACGGGCTAAACTCCAAAACTTTACATATTCCTGGGCTGGCGAATGCTCTTTATAGGTTTCTTTTCAGGACCCTAATTGTAAGCTCTGAGACATGTGATCAGCGTTCCACTCTTTTCTCTCTCTCCCAGAGGGTGGTATGATGTTGTTGCCGAATCCACAGTCATTTCTTCCGCTTTGTGATGGAGTGGAACTGACTCAGGTAAGCAGAAGGATTCCTGGGAGAGGAGGAATGGGGCTGCCTGGGGGTCATTTATTCCAGGCTTGATCATAGAATCCTAGAGTTGGAAGTCCAACCCCCTTCCAGAAAACAAGGAAATTGCATTCAAAGCACCCCTGACAGATGGCCATCTTCTGTTTAAAAGCTGCCAAAGAAGGAGCCTCCACCACACTCCAGGGCAGTTCTCACAGTCAGGAAGTTCTTGCTAATGTTCAGGTGGAATCTCCTTTCCTGTAGTTTGAAGCCTTTGTGAAACAGAAAAGATTGAACCCACAGAAATGTAAATCATTTCAAAGAGTTTCTTGTAGTTCTTTTGCTTGATTTCCATGATGTGAGAAGGAAATGTGTTCTTTTTCCACCAGGGCCCAATCGCCTTTGAGGACGTGGCTGTCCATTTCTCCCTGGAGGAGTGGGCTCTCCTGAATCCTGGCCAGAAAGCCTTGCACATGCAGATCATGGAGGAGATTCATGGGATCGTGGACTCTCTTGGTAAGGCTCCCTCACGGATGGGGATTTCTGTTTCAAAATGCAGGATCCCAGGCAGCAGCTCCCTGGTGGGAACAATATGCTAAATCATCCCAATCACTGATGATCCTCAATGCAGGGCTTATGTTAGAAATATATGACATACTAGTAATATATGGGTCCCTTAGTCTTTCTGATACAGAGGACAATCTCCCTTCTTTTTCTCTATTTTCACTATCTTTCCAGCCTTGTCATGCAAAACCGTAACAATCTCTCTAGCAATCTGAAATTAGTTATAGGATCTATGTTGGAGCAGAAAAATCCAACCTTAAGTGAACATTGGAAGAGAGGACTGGAGGCTGGGGAGAGAAATAAAAAGGAGGGAATGATTGTGAAATGGGTGGGAGCAAGCTAGAGAAAAAGGCAAGCATTTGAATGTGAAGGGAAAGTCATCCATTCCCCCAGAAAGAAGGAGACAGAATGAAAACCAGGCTGGGCTGAGGAACAGGTAGCCTCTGGAGCATATGTTACTCACCTCTCCCTTGGAGGCTCCAGGCAGTCTAACACTGTCCATCTGTACTGAACAAGGGGTGGGGAGAGGACAGCAGTTATATCTCTGTTGTTTTAAGGATAATTGAAATTTCCTTCTTATACCAATTCCCTAGAGCCCTTATCACTCACACAGAGGAATTGTTGTTTCTGTCCTCCTTCTTCACAGCAGATAACTGGAACACCAAACACAGCAGGCATTTGGGACGCAATGCGGGACTTCCTAGACAGCAGCAAAGCCACAAAGAAGATGGAGGTTCTGCCAGAGAAAGGCCCTACAAATGCAATGTATGTGGGCAGTGTTTCACCCAAAACATGGGACTTATACTTCACAAGACCCTCAGTGCTGGGAAAAGCCATTGTAAATGGAAAGTATCAGCAAAATGTATTGCTGATTACAACCTGCCAGATCTGAGCCAAGAAGAAATATTTGAAGGAACTGAAGATTGCATAAACCAGGAGTGTGGGAAACCTTTTATCTATACTTCACAGTCAGTGAGCCACAAAATACTCCACACAGGAGAGAGGCCTTACCGATGTGAAGAGTGTGGGAAATATTTTGCTCGCAATTCAGACTTGGTGAGCCACAAAAGACTCCACACAGCAGAGAAGGCATACCAATGCCAGGAGTGTGGGAAACGTTGTGCTCAGAGTTCAGACTTGGTGAAGCACAAAAGACTCCACACAGGAGAGAAACCATACCAATGCCAAGAGTGTGGGAAATGTTTTGCTCAGAGTTCAAACTTTGTGAGGCACAAAAGACTCCACAAAGGAGAGAAGCCATACAAATGCCAGGAGTGTGGGAAATGTTTTGCTGACAGTTCAGGCTTGGTGAGCCACAAAAGAGTCCACACAGCAGAGAAGGCTTACCAATGCCTGGAGTGTGGGAAATGTTTTGCTCAGAGTTCAGACTTGGTGAGCCACAAAATACTCCACACAGGTGAGAGACCTTACCGATGTGAGGAGTGTGGGAAATGGTTTGCTCGCAATTCAGACTTGGTGAGCCACAAAAGACTCCACACAGGAGAGAAGCCTTACAAATGCGAGGAGTGTGGGAAATGTTTTGCTTGGAGTTCAGACTTGGTGAGCCACAAAAGACTCCACACAGGAGAGAAGCCTTACAAATGCGAGGAGTGTGGGAAATGTTTTGTTCAGAGTTCACACTTGGTGAGCCACAAAAGAGTCCACACAGGAGAGAAGCCATACCAATGCCAGGAGTGTGGGAAATGTTTTGCTCACAGTTCAGGTTTGGTGAGCCACAAAAGAGTCCACACAGCAGAGAAGGCATACCAATGCCAGGAGTGTGGGAAACGTTGTGCTCAGAGTTCAGACTTGGTGAAGCACAAAAGACTCCACACAGGAGAGAAACCATACCAATGCCAGGAATGTGGGAAATGTTTTGCCCAGATTTCAAACTTGGTGAGCCACAAAAGAGTCCACACAGGAGAGAAGCCATACCAATGCCAAGAGTGTGGGAAATGTTTTGCTGACAGTTCAGCCTTGGTGGGCCACAAAAGACTCCACACGGGAGAGAGGCCATACAATTGCCAGGAGTGTGGGAAAGGTTTTGCTCAGAGTTCAGACTTGATGAAGCACAAAAGAGTCCATACAGGAGAGAAGCCATACCAATGCAAGGAATGTGGGAAATGTTTTGCTCTGAGTTCACACTTTGTGGAGCACAAAAGACTCCACACAGGAGAGAAGCCATTCCAATGCAAGGAATGTGGGAAATGTTTTGCTCGCAGTTCAGCCTTGGGGAGCCACAAAAGAGTTCACACAGGTGAGAAGCAATACCAATGCAAGGAATGTGGGAAATGTTTTGCTCGCAGTTCACATATGGTGAGCCACAAAAGACTCCACTCAGGAGAGAAGCCATACCAATGCCAGTAGTGTGGGAAATGTTTTGCTTGCATTTTATATTTGATGAGCAGAGAAGATTTCACACAGAAGAGAACCATGCCAGAAAAGAAACTGTACAAAAATCCAGGATTGTGGGCAATGCTTTACTGTGAGTCACCAGAGAATTCATACAGGAAAAAAACCCATACAGATGCCCAGATTGTGGGAAATGTTTTGGTTACAGCTCAGCCTTTGTGAAGCACAGGAGACTTCACATAATGCCAGGAGTGTGAAAAATGTTTTGCTTACAGTTCACACTTGGTGAGCCCCAAAAGACTCCACACAGGGGGGAAGCTGTACAAATGCCAGGAGTGTGGGAAATGTTTTGTTCAAAGTTAAGCCCTTGTGAGTCTCAAGAGAATTCAGGCAGGAGAAAAGCCACACAGATGTATGGATTGTGGGAAATGCTTTCCTGACACCTTTACTGACCTTACAAAGCACCACTTAATTCACACAGGATAAAAAACAAAGAAATGCTGGGGGGGGGGGGGTCATACGTTTTGACCCATCAGGGACTACATACAGGAGAGAAATCATTCAAAGAGCTGGGACAAAACTAATAAAATGTGTTGCAAAAGGGAAATGGTGGGATCTGGACATTCTGGTGCTGTCCGCTATACATTCAACATTTCCCAATTAAGACATGTGATTCTCTTGGCTTCAAGTAGGGTTTGGCTTGACTTGTTTGTCTTTGTTTGTCTTGGGACTGCTTCGGAGAATGCTTTTGCTTCTCTGGACACTGGCATCACTGTGGGACTGGACTATGTTTCCCCTGTTCAGGCTTTGTGGGTAAACTTCTGATTTCAAACACAACCCTTTGAGAAGTCCTGACTAAGATTTGGTAGAGTCCCCTTTCTTGTCATTTAAATCCCTAAACTGGGGTCATGTTCTTGGAGCAGCAGAAAGCCAGCTCTTTGTGACAATCCTTCAGAGGGTTAAATACGATTGTCATGCCACCTTTAAAAAATCATACTGTATATACTCGAGTATAAGCTGAGTGTTTGCCCAAAAAGGAAACCGGCCGCAAGTT